AATATATTTTTTAAATTGCAAAGAGACTTTATGGACGCCCTGTATATATATATATATATATATATATATATATATATATATATATATATATATATATTTATCGAGTGTAACAGCAAAATTGTCCAAATCGTCTAACTGCATGTGTCCATCCCACAAAATGTTAAAATCTAAAAAAAACACTAAACTAATTGAGTTTCTATATTCCATGTTTTCAGATAATACGTTTAGCCATTTTGAAACTATTTGTCGTCAGAATCATTGAAAAACACCTTTGAGTTATTCAGGTAGAAAAATAAAACAGGTTAAAATTGTTTTGTGTCAGCCCCACTATGTCTTCCCATATGAACAATGGGGAAAGGAAAAAGAATTTTCGGGCCTTCAGTAATGGTACCAACATTCATACTCTGGTTTCCATCTTCAAAGTCCATTCAAGAATCATCAAGAGAATGGTGAATAAGTTTAATAAGAGGGAACAGTAGAGATGAAAACTGGATCAGGAAGTCACAACAGGAAGAGGGATCACCATTTCAACTTAGAGCTAAATGCTTTCTTATTGTTCAATGTAGAGTCCAGTCGTGTTAGAAAAACCTCGGTGAATTTCTTTAATATATTTTTGATAATTTCTAAGATGCAATGGTTCAACGCTTAATCAAATGGACAATTTTGCTATTACACCCGTGATATATATATATATATATATACAATGTCCCTAACTCCCAACTTTTTCCCCATAGATATATTTCATTCTTACTTCTAACCGTTCAGGGATGATTTAGTTTTTCTTCCACGTGTGCGCATGCTATCAAAGGGCCATAACTCTTTGTCACTTCCCTTATTATAGTGAATTTAAATTGTTTTAACGAACAATGTTAATCTTATTCTGTTCGTAATTTATTCATTAATTCTATAGCAATAATAATCCTTTTACAATGTTTTTTTTTATATAATAAAATTACCTACAATGTATTTCGGTGTGGTCTCTCCCGTCGGTTTTACTTATGAGGCTACATCAACTTACCGTATTTAACGGCATATAAGGCTCACTTTTTTTTTACTAAAAATATCTTTTGAAATTCCCCTGCGTCTTATATGCCATAGATAGGCTTAAAATTCGCGCTAATAGGCTGAAATTATCTATCTGGCAACTCCAATTAGCTTAGACTTTAGACTAACTTTCATATACATATTGTCTTTATTTAATAGGCTATTATGCAGTGTTAACATTGATAATGTTCATTATATTAATTTCATCACGTTTAATATTAGTACTTTGTTTCACTAAAATTATATGCAATAAATTCAAATTATGTATATTTTTTAAAATTTATTTGTTTAATTAATATTTTTCTTCCGATAACTTCCAGTTGCATTGGTATAAATACAACGAGAATTTTTATATCCTAATTATTCCACTAAGACTTTTACAAGACTCAGGTTTTACAGATCTCGTATAGGATATAATAAAGTTTTTATAGGCTTGTGTTCATTTTTCCTAAAATTTTTCGTTTAATTGTAATCATGTTTAACCAAAATAATACGTCATAAATATAGCCTAGACTGTATCTTTTACTAATAATTTTACTAATTACTAATTTTTTTTTCTTGATTTTCCCTGCAGAAATTGGGGTGCGTCTTAAACACCCGCGCGCATTATATGCAGTCAAATACGGTAGGTCTTAAAAGCAAACAGCCGGATTACCCGCACATATTTGATAATAGTTCTTCAGAAGCAACTTCCTGGGACATTCATGGGACTATCACGCCATACATCACGGTCCTACATGAAGTTCATTAGTTGGGCATTATATGTCATAACCTAGCTGGTCGATGTAGGTGGCTGCTGGCCGATCAAGTCGTCTCGGTCCCTGGCTGGGTATCCAGAACATTAGATCTTGATCGAGAGTTCTTGTTTTGCTCGCCAGCAGTGCCCTGCGTTCTCCGTACCATTGTAAAAATATCAGAGAGAGGTCCATAGAGCTGTGTTTTAGTTGGATGTTGTGTCCAGAAGATACATAGCTCTCAGGATCCGAGTCTAGGTTCCATTAAGCTTAGGCTGTAAGGTTTTAGTTATAATTACCTGGCATAGGAGTTAACGCTGATCTGATAGATAGATAGATAGATAGATAGATAGATAGATACTGACATTGATAGATAGATAGATAGATAGATAGATAGATAGATAGATAGATAGATAGATAGATAGATTCAGAAAGAAAAAAAGAAAGAAAACAAACAGGTTTAGCTAGATTAAGATAGATAGATAGACAGAAAAAAGATAGATAGATAGATAGATAGATAGATAGATAGATAGATAGATAGATAGATATGAACAGATTGAGATAGATAGATAGATAGATAGATAGATAGATAGATAGATAGATAGATAGATAGATAGACTTTTCTATATTATCTGTTGGTAGATTGATAAGCATTATTGTTTTGTAAAATAATTATATCTTTGTTATTGTATTTTTAATTAATGTACAAATATTTGATTATCTTTTCTTTTCTTTTCTAGGTAAGTACTGATTTCTTATATCTTCTGAACGGCGGTAAGACAAATTTTCCTTTATTTAATTGCAAATCTCCTCTTTCACTATTCTTTTAATTGTATTTTTTGTCAATATATACTAGCGATGATACACAATGTTCCACAGGGCATGACCCTTTCCTTTCACTGAGAAACATATACAGACTTGAAAATTATTTGTTCCATAAGTCTCAACCTCTTTTATATGATGAAAAAATAATCTTTGTTCAATCTTGAAAATTTACTATCAAAATTATCAAGTGATTACTTCCCTTTATCAATGGCTAACATATTTTTTACTCTCCTTCTGTGATCAAAATGCTGAGTTGGTTACAGCTTTCAGAGGATATTGACATTATTTGAAAAAGGAATTTAATTATAAAAATATATCTTATTTATAAGTTTTTTTTTTATTTTTATGTCCGTAATTAAATGTAATCGGAGAAAAATTGGAATGAATATATAATTTTATGAAACTGAAGGAAGCAGACTCCAAATTAAATTTCTGTTCAATTAAATGTTCAAGACTTTGTGAAATATTTTTGAAATTTTACTTTTACTAACTTGCACTTCTTTCTTGATTTGAAACATTTTCTGTAACTACGTTTTCTTTGTTCCAAAGTAGTGATTCCCAACGTAGACGGAAACGCCGCCACCCTAGGGGGTCGATATGAATTCCCAAGGGGCAGTAGGAGTTCAGATGAGTTAAAGTACGAGGTAACATTGTACTAGTGTGACCCAAAACAAATCAATTGATAAAATTTGCACTATTTACATTCTTTAGACTGTTGTCTTCGTCTTTATTGTCATATTCACGACGTTTCAGTCGTGTACGTTCGGGCCTTCTTCAGGTGATATACTTTAGAATTTTGAACCGAAACCTTTCCACGGTGGTAGATTATTCTAGTTCCACGTGCCATACCTTTTATGTATCTCTCAGTTACTTCCATTAAGTAATTCAACTCTCCAAGTTTATGTTGATCTTTGCTTTGGCCAGATATTGAACTCAAAACTCGTTGGATCTATACTCTTTTGGATTACTTCATCCAACGCTTTTATCCGATGCGCTATGTGTCCTTGGGAACTTGACCCAAAGAGTTGCGAGTTCAATACCTGACCACAGCAGAGATGAACATAAACTTTGAGAGTTCTGTTACTAAATGAAAGTAACTGAAAACTGAGATGTACAAAAAAAGACACGACACGTGTAACTAGAAGAATTTACCCGCGTCGAAAGGGTTCAGTTCGAAATTCCAGCGTATAACACCTGAAGAAGTTACAATGGCCGAAACTTCATGACTATAACAATAAAGACGAGGGCAACAGTCAAAACAATGTAAATAGTTACAATACCTCATCTCAGAAATACAGACAGGTCCTGAAGAAAGCCGGATTGTAAAACGGCCGAAACATTGTGAATATGTCAATAAAGATGAGGACAATAGTCCAAATAATATAAATAACCTAAATAGTTACAATACCTTATCTTGTCGTTGTTAATCTTTTATCATATATATATATATATATATATATATATATATATATATATATATATATATATATAATATACACATATAATTATACACATACATATGCAAAATATATAAATATATATACATAGGTGCATACACATACATGTATATTTTTTGAATAAAAATTCCGAGAGGATAGAATCCATGTAGAACTCAATGTCCAGGACAGAGTAAGAATATAATAAAAAAAGGCTTAAACACAAATGACCATGGAATATTAGTGTTTAAGCCTTTTTATATATATATATATATATATATATATATATATATATATATATATATATATATAAAATGTCATATTTATATTTTCTTTAATAATGGTAAGTTGTTAACTAATTCATTTATTCTGCCCTTTTTGGTTTATTCATTCAATGTTTTGGATGAATGTTATCCATTATTAAGGATTTTTGACATTTGATAATTTTTCGTACTCTTTGTGAGATCCTGTGATTTTATATATAACATCAGAGATGGACTGACAGTTGTATGGCTTAGTCTAATAAATATAACAGTAAGGTTCAATGGCAAAAATCAAAGCGAAAGAGTGGGTTAATCATATCGTCAACATGTTTGTATAACAATCATTGCAAAAGTACGCTTAGTTGCTGAAAAGTTTTCAGCCTTACAAACTTCTCAAAATATGATCAACTATTCAAGCACATTTTTTTTTTAATTTTTGGAAGGGCTTGTCGAGAGATTTTCAGCACCCCTCTGAAGTGTGATTGCAGTTGTAGACGTAACTGAATTCTAAATTGACTTTTACTAAGAATTTTATTTTCCCGTTAATATTTTTTTCTAAAAATTAGAGCTTTTTGAAAAATCCGATTTGGAGTGTCGCCAAGCTTTGATTAGCTTCAACAATTGTCTTCTTTGATGTGAGAAAAATGTTTTTTTTTTTAAAAAAAGAAACTTTTTGGTGATTTCTTAATGCCTCGCGCATTTGTGTAATATCAGAGAACATACGTGTTCTCTCCAGAAAGCATTTAGCCATTTTGAATAATTCGAAAGCGGTTTCGTTGTGACTTGATGGTTTATTCAGTTGACAGTAATGATCCACTGTGAAGCCGTCAAATTGACCACGACTTCAAGTGTTGCCTTTTGACAAGTATTCCAGCCATGTTTGTTACATTGACTTACGCTCAAATACTCTTGGGAAAGCATGGAGACATTTCAAAACCCCAGCTATGAGTAAAACAGTTGTATTTGTATTTGAAAAAAATATTGGTATTCTTAAAAACCGTTACTGCAATACAGACTTGGAAAAAAAGAATTATTCTTGCAATCTCAAATATTTTTTGGCTTTAAATAACCTAGAAAGGGTTGATAAGCTGCAAAAACATCGCATTGGCAGAACGTCGCAAGTAAATCAAGATTTTGTTTCTTGAGATTTCCGGTTTTCTCAAAGTTAAAATTATCGTTACGAAACATCACATTTAAAAATGTTATTCAAGAAAAGGTATTGTGGCAAACGCGTGTTAGTACAGACGAAAAAAAAAATGGTCCGGACATGTCTGTCGAAGACAAATACATCTGTGTTTCTCCGTTAGCAACAGAACTATTTGGCATCGCACTGGCTGCAAAGATCGCTGTGGAGCTCCATCCACCCTGCGGTGTTAGATGGCAGTTGATCCTCTACGAATATTCATCCGTCATTTGACAATTGTTGATGGTAATCCTTCCGGTTGTCTATACAACATCCTCACCAGAAAAAAAAAAAAAAAAAAAAAAAAAACGGAAGAGGCTATTTTGCCGATCCCGGTAAAATAAAATAGACAAACATGCTTTTAAGTTTATTTTATATTCTCATTATTATTGTTGACGATAATGGGTATGCCCATACACATAAATACACTAGTAAATACTGTATGTTGGTCTGTAGCTGGATAAACTCTCTTCCTCCGGGCAGATAGAATCACCAGACGAGGCTCGTCTCGGCGAAAAAGCTACCCAACCCCGTTTTATACGGGGTCTATGGGGAATGTTTGGCCGAGTTTACGGTCTCGGATACCCCACATTAAATTCGGCCTTGTGCCACATCTGACTGCGTGAGGTGGTTGCTAGATATCCTGCCGTTGGAGATTCGCCTTCAGCTGTTCTGGTCAAACTCTCTGCCTCCGGACAAAGAGAATCACCAGACGAGGCTATGTCGAAAGGCAGAGTCTCGTATCGGGAAACAGGTACCTGACCCTGTTTTATAAGAGGTCTACGGGGAATTTTTGGCCGAGTCTATGGGCTCGGATACCCCACATTATATCTACATCTGACCGCGTGGTGCGGTTGGTAGATATCCTGCAGTTGGAGATATCATTGTAAAATTCATTTGACTCACTTCTAACAGTTGACTACTTCTACACGCCGCTGGCGAATCTTATATGTTTGTGCCCTAAGCATTATCGTTCAGTATCAACCTTTGTGTGATTATTCTATTCAATAACCTTCCCTAGGTTCCAACAATTATGAAGGCAGTTGGTAACATAGATTTAAGACAGATGTTTATTTATTTTCCCTTTCAGTTGTTAAGACAATCTATAATCTCTTCTACTATCAATTGATAAAACAAAAGTTAAAATCATTTATTCATTATTAATTATTAAAAGAAATATACAAGTCTCTGAATATTTTAAACACTTTGAGGTATAACAGTCTCAAACAAATCCCAAACTTGCCCTTGGGCATGGTTGTCTTACTATATATATACAATATTAGTGGTAAATATACACATACATATGCAAAATATATAAATATATATACATAGGTGCATACACAAATATGTATATTTTTTGAATAAAAAATCCCGAGAGGATAGAATCCAGTTACATCCACTGAATACAACAGTCAGAGACCACAGAATCCATGTTGTTTATATTCTGCATACACAGCTTATAAAATATTCTTACTTCTAAAACAATATTTATATTTACTACAAAATATACTTCGTGGATATTTTACCGGAACCGGAAAAATAGTCAATTCGAAAAAAAAAAGAACCTTGTGGAGAGCTTGTTAGTCATCGAAGACCAGACCATACGGCAGGTAATCCTGTGCCTGTAGAGTGACATGATATAAAATTACTTACAAGTGCTTTTATAGATAGTTCCTGATATGATTATTTTGATTATTTCAGACGTCTTCATGTATTAAAAGTGTTTATTTTTGCATTGAAAGTGCGAGTTTGACCATTTTTAGCGTTATATTTTTATAATTAGTTTTTTGCTGATGATACGTCATATGACGTCATATTTTGAATTCGGATTTTTTGCTACCATTTGAAGAGCTTCAAAAAGGTTGCCTTTTTTTTTGGTAAACCATATTTAGAATCTTGGTTTCGATGAATGATATTTTTTTTAATGTAATCTGTTTGTTCCAATAT